AGCAGGAGCACCGCATTCGTGGTCGGCAGCAGGAGGACAACTGCGCTTGCGCAGGAGGCACCCAGGGAATGACTGACAGGTCTCTGCCACCTCTGGCTGTTGCTGGAGGAGTACAAAGTCCCCCAGGTTCCAAAAACCAGGCAAACATAATGAGGAGCCTTGACATCTAATTTATTTCACTGGGACTGTACTAAACAAATAAAGTGGGGAGCAGTGTTCGGGGATTGTCTAAGATTCTTGAGAACATTAGAGACATAAGCAACAACAGCAATGTTCTCAAGTTCTAAATCCTTTTATTTCAAGGTACAGCTGGAAATATTGGTGTAGGAGCAAGGCATCCAGGATTTACTCGCCTCTTTCTTCTTTTTAGAACACCACAATAGATAGGCTAAAGGGCTGTGGATGGAAAATTCTTGGATTAAATGAAGACTCTTAGTAATTAAGACAATGTATGTTTGCACAGATAGAAAGGTGAACCAATGAAATAAAGGAAAGCTCAAAACAGACAAAATAATATAAATGCAAATAAGTAATAAGAGCAATTATTAGTAGAAAGATGGCTTTTACAATCAATGTTCCAGGAAATTGATATTCACTGAAGGAAGTTAAATGTACCTTTAACTTCACATTACACATAAAATTAATTGCAGGTGCATCATAGATCCAAATACAAATACAGTTTAATATAGTATTTACAACCTATGTTAGGAAAATATCTTCATGACTATGGGCTAGCATAAGATTTACTAAATTAGACCTACAATGTCGTCACAATTTAACAGAAAAACATTTTATAACATAGTTTATGGGAGCAAGGACTGTGGAGACAGATTAGAGCATGTTCTATTCCTTTTATTTGCAGGGCTTTAGCTCAAATTCAGAACTTGTACATAGGAGTGGTAGCAGAACCTACCTTTTGATATTTTGGGAGGAATGAATGAACTAATGCTACATAATGCCTGTAGATAAATATCAGGTCTATAGTAATCACAACATCAGTATGCTAACACTGACAGTGTTTTCTAAGTAATTTAAATGTATTTTTTGTATCAATTGCAAAATACATCATTATTTTACGCCACAGTAAAGGAATAAAATTGACAAGATATGGTACAAATACTTCCTATGCCTTATAATTTTTACCTCACAATTAGTGACAATAACTCTTTTCAATATATATAAATGTGGATATTTGTTTTATATCACTCCTATTCAATGAGACGCAAATATAAGCAAATCACATTAAGAAAGATATTGCTGCTCGGGGCGGTGGCTCATGCCTGTAATCCCAGCACTTTGGGAGGTTTACTTGAGGTCAGGAGTTCGAGACCAGCTTGGCCAACATGGTGAAACCCCATCTCTACTAAAAATACAAAAATTAGCCGAGTGTCATGGCCTGTGCCTGTAATCCCAGCTACTTGGGAGGCTGAGGCAGGAGAATTGCTTGACCCCGAGAGGCAGAAGTTGCAGTGGGCCGAGATCATGCCACGGCACTCCAGCTTGAGCGACAGAGCAAGACTCTGTCTCAAAAAGGAAAAAAAAAAGAAAAGAAAAAGAAAGGTATTGCTAAATTTCTCTCATTCAGGTGCACCTCTTCGGAGTCACTATTCATCTTCTTTACGATTTTCCCCTCATTATCATCTTCTGTGTTAACCAGAAGCTTTGGTGATGTTTCGTTTCTTGTGAGATTCCTATGCAACACTCTGTGAGATTATCTTTCCAACCTACTGACAGCTCCTCTGCAAGTTTTGTGTTGATGATATTAAAAGAAGGTGTCAATGGAAGGTTTCCAGGACAGGTTCATGTGCATTCATATAAGGACAACCACAAAAAGTCTGTATTTTGACCAATAGCCTTTTGACACTATCAATTTTAAGATGCATTTTGTCTTAGTTCCTTTGTATCACTAGGAAGGAATACTTGAGTCTGGGTAATTTATAATGAAAAGAAGTTTGTTTAGCTCATAGTTCTATGCACTGTACAGGAAGCAGGGCATCAACACTTCCTTCTGACTGGGTTCTCAAGCTGATTCTACTCATGACAGAAAGAAAAGGGGAGCTTGTGTGTGCAGAGATCACACGGTGAGAGAGGAAGCAAGAGAGGGGCAAATGCTGGACTCTTTTCAACAACCAGCTCTCCTCGAAATTAGCAGAGTGAGTACTCATTACCATGAGAACACCACCAAGCCATTCTTGAGGGATTTCCCCCAAAATTCAAGCACCTCCTATCAAGCCCCACTTCCAACATTGGGGATCAATTTGTAACAGGAAGTTTGGGGGGCCAAAGATGTAAACTATAGTACATATGTGTTTGAAAGACATGAAAATATGTCCTTTAGCAATAATGGAACACACTATATTTTTTCTGTGACTGCTCATTTCCCAATGTGATATCATAGTGACTTGTCTGCTGAATCCTGGTCTATTATTATTATTATTATTAAAGAGATAGGGTCTTGCTGTATTGCCTTGGCTGGAATGTAGTGGTGTGATCATATCTCATAGCAACTTCCAATTCCTGGTCTCAAGGGATCCTTTTGTTTTAGCCTCCTGAGTAGCTGGGACTACAGGCATGTGCTACCGCGCCCGGTCACTTTGAAAAAAAATTTGTTTTTATAGAGTTGGGGGTCTCGCTGTGTTGCCCAGCAATGCTTGGAGCAGGTTGTGGAAGTTGTGTTCTTTTGCTGTTCACAATAAATTTTGCTGCTGTTCACTCTTTGGGTTTGTACCACTGTTAAGAGCTGTAACACTCATGCAAATGTTTCTCCCTGGCTTCATTCTTGAAGTCAGCCAGACCACGAACCCACTGGAAGGAACCAGTTCCTTCCAGTTCCTTCCAGTGGCTGGGTGTGTGTGCATGCTCCGGGTGGCTCTGACACACCAGTCCCTCTTGCTGCCTTGGCCCCCTCTGAAACTTTGGGCACCATGGAGCTCAGGGAGGGAAGCTGGGGGGTGCTGAAGGGAGCTTGGCATGAACAGCCTGGGTGCTGTGGATTGCATGTTGATGGTGGGAGGCAGATTCCTGGGCAGAAAGGGGTGGGTTCCTTGTGAAACCCCACTTTCAAGCCAGGGACACCTGAAGCTTGGCGGCCAGGTTGCCAGTTCTGGATGGAGTCTGCAGCCAGGTGTGAGAACTTATGCTGCTTTTTCTGAGCCAGCCCATGGCCACTCCTGGACCAGTCAGCATGCACTTTCACCCCTCTGGGTACATGAAAACTGTGGACTCAGCAAGACTGTAGCAAATGATGAATGACCTGTCTGCGGAAAGCAGCCGCTCACTGCAGGTCATCTCCTGAGAACGGTTCTGCTGCTCAGTGAAGCTCCTCTCCACCTTGCTCCCCCTCACATTGTGTGTGTCCCTCATTCATTCACAGAACCCCAAAGAGATTGGGGTTCTGTTATTCCTAGTGTGTCCAAGTTTCCAGGTACCACCACTTTCCCCTAATCCAGATGCAGGTGCTCACAGCAGAAGCCTCATGTAGTACATTTGGTCCAGCCGCAGCCTTGCACAGAGCTGGCACCTGTGGTGGTGCCTGGAGTTGCCTGTCCCTCTGAAGCAGCCAGCATGTCTGGCTGTGCACAATGGCCAGACTCTGCATTTGCTCACGCACACACTCCTCACCACTCTTTGCTTGGTTCACCCTTGTCAGGTTTGGGATCTGGGCAGGTGGCATGAGCTGAGCTCAGCCTGTTGGGCCAAGCGGGAGGAATGAGTCCAGCAGGAGCAAGCAATGCTCAGGAAGAAGGTGCTGCTGGCCACACAGGTTTCTGGCTGGTGAAGTGACACCCCCAGTATCCTGTGACATAAGGAATGCCATATAGATCAATGAAATAGAACAGAAATGTCCAAAAATTAACCCTGACATTTATCATCAATGATTTTACAAGTTGCCAAGGCAATTAATTGGTGAAAAGTATTTTTTTCAACAAATTTTGCAGGGACAAGCTAATATCCACATTTAAATTGGACTCCTCCCTCATGCCATATACATGACTTACTAAAAATATATCATACACCTAAACTCAGGATCTAAAACTACAAAACCTGTAGAAGATAACATGGAAATATGTTTTTATTGTTGTTGTTGTTGTTTGAGACGGAGTCTGGCTCTGTCACCCAGGCTGGAGTGCAGTGGCGCAATCTCGGCTCACTGCAAGCTCCGCCTCCCGGGTTCACGCCATTCTCCTGCCTCAGCCTCCTGAGTAGCTGGAATTACAGGCGCCCGCCACCACGCCTGGCTAATTTTTTTCTATTTTTAGTAGAGATGGGGTTTCACCGTGTTAGCCAGGATGGTCTCGGTGTCCTGGCCTTGTGATCCGCCCACCTCGGCCTCCCAAAGTGCTGGGATTACAGGCGTGAGCTACCGCGCCCGGTCATGGAAATATGTTTTTATGGCCAAGGTTAAACAGTGGTTTCTACAATACTATTTTTGATGTTACCATCAAAAATAAAAGTGACAGAAAAAAACAGGTAAGTTGATCTTCATCACAATTAAATGTTGTGATTCAACAAACAATATCAAAAAGTTAAAAGATAACTCAAAGAATGGGAAAAAATATTTGCAAGTTATATAGCTGATCAGTGTCCATTGTACAAAATGTAGAAATGATTCTCACAATTCCAAACAAGAGTCAAATATCCAAATTAAAAATGGGTATGCTGTTTGGATAAGCATTTCTCTAAATAAGCAATACACATGCCCAATGAACACATGAAAAGTTGATTAATGCCATTAGTTCTTAGGGAAAAAATCACCATAAGATACACTTTATGGCCAGGCGCGGTCACTCACATCTGTAATCCCAGCACTTTGGGAGGCCAAGGTGGGTGGATCACCTAAAGTCAGGAGTTCAAAAGCAGCTTGGCCAACATGGTGAAACCCCGTCTCTACAAAAATTCAAGAATTACCTGGGCATGATGATGGGTGCCTGTAATCCCAGCTACTCGAGAGGCTGAGGTGGGAGAATCGCTTGAATCTGGGAGGTGGAGGTTGTAGTGAGGTGAGATCACACCACTGCATTCCAGCCTGGGCAACAGAGTGAGACTCTGTCTCAAAAAAAAAAAAAAAAAAAAAAAAAAAACAAAAAACTTTAGAAAATTAAAACATATTTTAAAGTGAAGGAAGCCACTTTGAAAAGACTGCAGAGTATGTAACTCCATTAATATGATACTCTGGAAAGGATAAAACAATGGAGATAGTAAAACGGATTAGTGCTTACTAGGAACTTTCTAAGCAGGAAGAAGGCTCAATAGGTGAAGTACATGGAATATCTTTAGGGCAGTGAAGACGTTCTGCATGGACCCGCAATGCTGCACGCATCATACTGTTTTTGAAATGCTACAGCATTTTAAAAGTCAAAGAGTGAACCTAAATATATGAAAATTTTTTTTAAAAAAATTATTATTTTTCGGTTAGGGGAATCCCATGAAGAAATGCAGGCAAAATAAGAAAAATGCATTACAAATGTATAAAAATAATCCCATTGACGGAATGGGAGAAAAAGGAGCTGATCTAAGCAACTTAGGAAATAAGTGGAGATTCTGAGTCTAATGCCCAAAGGAGTTGTCTATGAGCAGTGTACTTTAATTGGTAATGTTGTTTCCTATGGGGGTGTGGATTAATAATCCTGAAGCCACCATGCATGTATTATGGGACTCGATTATTACATAAAGGAGGCCAGCTTTCTCTAGAGTAGGAGATTACATGTAAGTAGTGGTGATGGGTGGAGAGACTCATGTATTGCAGGATGAAATCATGTGGTACTGGAGATAGCAGTAGGAATTCATGCTTAACTTTATGTAGATATATATGGAAAAATGTAGAAATATTTACACAGATGTTTATATAGGCAGGTTTGTATACACACGTACATTTCTTTTTTTGTGTCAGCTGAGAAGGCCTTGAATCTACAGACACTCCAGTAGCAAGAGGTACACTTGGTGGGCAGATCTTCATTTCTAATTCCACTTTCTGATGAAATAAACTAGGAAGCTTTGAAGAAATGGTGGATACTAGGCTTTGGCAGGGAGTGATGAAAATTTTGCCTGGAGTACCTTCTAATGCCTGAAAGTAAGAAAATGTGAAACTGCAGCACAATCAACCAAGCAAACTAAAACCAAAATGATGTTGGCAATTTTAAATGATACAGAAGCCCACTGAAAGACCTTCCAGTGCTCAAGAATGGATCAAGGTGAGCAATAATATACATGAGTATAAGTAAAGTATAAAATAAATATTCACAATTTCATACAATATTCTATATGGTATAGACACATTATTGAATTAATATGTGATAAATGGTGAGGAATTGACAAATTGTACATGGCGACAAATTCTCAACTATTTTTAAAGATACTCCATCATAAGGAAGTGGAACATGAATCCCAGTTGTTAATATGTGCTATGTATAGTGACTTATTTTTAAAAATGTAAAAGTAAAAGAGAAAAATTAATTTTACAGTGGGAAAATATGACTACAATCCCTTTCCGAGGGGAACAAAATTACTATCAACAGTGATAAAGCATGTCGATAGTGTGTACCCTCGACATGATATGATGAGAATGACACTTACTTTCCGTGTTCCTCCTCCCTTACACCCAGAAATCCAGTAAAATCATGAGGAAAACATCAGAGAAATCCCTAATTAGGGATGTCAGTGTCCTTAACAACAAGGAAAGTGAGGGAAACTGTCACAGGCAGGAGCCCAAGGAGACACATGACATCTCAATGTAATGTGGGGTCCTGGATGGGATTCTAAACAGAACATGGACATAAGTGAAAGCTAAGGCATCTAAATAAAATGTGCATGTGAGCTGGGTGCGGTAGCTCATGCCTGTAATCCCAACACTTTTGGAGGCCAAGGCAGGTGGATCACCTGAGGTCAGTAGTTCGAGACCAGCCTGGCCAACATGGTGAAATCCCATCTCTACTAAAAATACAAAAATTAGCTGGCATGGTGGTACACGCTTGTAGTCCCAGCTACTTGGGAAGCTGAGGCAGGAGAATTGCTTGAACCTAGGGAGGTGGAGGTTGCAGTGAACCAAGATTGTGACACTGCTCTCCAGGCTGGGTGACAGGGTGAGACTCCGCCTCAATAAATAAATAAATAAATAGTGTTTGTTAGATAAGAATAATGTATAATATTCATTCATTAATTATTGCTATTGTCCCACACTAATAATAATAATAGTTAACTAAGAGGTTAATAAGGGAAACTGTACTACCTTGGCAAGTGTTGTGTGAATATAAACTGTTCTAAAAAAGTTTATTTATTTCTTAAGTCTTTGCCCAACTTAATAAACAAAATATTATCAATACTGTTGATGTCCCGCTGATATAGGAATAGCACTGGGTCGTGGCAAGTGGACAAAAAATCCAAATAACAGCTAAAACATGAACTAGGCAAATAAACCACAGGGAAACCCCAAAATAAGGGAGAGAAAATGGCCAAAATCTTTGTCACGGTGACATATCCATCACCCTTCCCAGCAAACTCAAGTAAGCAATAAAGGGTACAGTAACCAGGGGTCCCTGAAATCCCCTCCCTTTCCAGAATATCTAATGATTATTCCACCCCTAGTTAAAGAAACAGGCATAAAATAGGAAGGCTGAGTGGTCATAGGAAAAAGAAGAAAATATCAAGCAGTAATTTCACGGCTTGAAAATCACATCAAGAAAGGAGCTGTTAAAATATTCTACAAGGACAAGGACAAGCCTGGGCTGATAAGACTTTAATGGGCTAAGTTCGCTGAGACTGGCTGGGTCCAACATCATGCCGGGTTTGACCCATGCCCTACCCCAGACCTAATGAGACATACTAAATCCAACACCCACCAGTGTCATGACATTTCACTTGTATATAAGCATTCATATGTACACACACATGACATATACCTAATAATACATCATTAAATACATTGTTGCTGTCATTTCTTTCATCGAACTGTAAAGTTAGATTTTACTAGGAATATAAAAGTTTTTCTTCCATAGGGCAACCACTAAAAAAGTAAAAAACAAAAAAAGATGTTAAAGAAGAGAAAATGAAATCATATCCAATTCTCAATTTAAACCACAAAAGGCAGCAAATGGGTGGAAGACAAAAATAGGACCAAAGAACAAGGGCAACAAATGCAAAACAGTAACAAATATGGTAGATATCAATCTAACTATATCAGTAATCACTTTGAATACCAATGGTAAAAATAAAACAATTAAAATACACAGATTGTCAGCCAGGAGCAAGTGCTGGTGCCTATGATCCCAGTATTTTGGGAGACTGAAGCAGGTGTGTCACCTGAGGTCAGGAGTTTGAGACCAGCCTGGCCAGCATGGTAAAACACTGTCTCTCCTAAAAATACAAAAGTTACACAGATGTGGTGGCACACACTTGTAATCCCAGTAACTTGGGAGGTTAAGATGTGAGAATTGCTTGAAAGCAGGAAGCAGAGGCTTCAGTGAGCTGAGACCCTACCATTCCACTCCACCCTGTGTGATAGAGTGAGACTGTCTCAAAAATAAAATAAAATAAAATGAAATACACAGATTGTCAAAGTGAATAAAAAAAGACCCAGCTGTATGTTTTATATAGGAAACCCATTTAAATATAAAGACAAATAAAAGAAAATTCAAATTAAAGCCATAGTGAGATATCACCTCACATCTCTGAGATAATAGGTGAGAGTGAGGTAATGAACATGCTAACTAGCTAGAATTATCCCACAATGTATATAATACTTCAGACATAATGTTGTATACAGTAAATACATGCAATTGTATGTCAATTAAAAAATGTGAAGACATACCTAAATTAAAAGTATATGAGTGACACAAAATATGCCATGCTACCAGTAATCAAAAGAAAGCATGAAGAGCTATATTAATTTCCTAAAGGGTGGACTATTAGGGCAGGAAAATTATCAGGCATAAAGAAGAACATAATGATAAAGAAGTTAATTATCCAAGAAGGTGTAACAATCCCTAACAAGTATGAAAGTCACAAAACAGCATCAATCTACGTGAGGAAGAAACTGTTAAAACTACAGGAAGAAATAGACGAATCCACCATTTTCGTTGGAGACTTCAACACTCCTCCACCAGAAATAGATTCAGCAGGCAGAATCAGTAGGATTTGACTGAACTCAGCAGCACCATCAATGCACTGGGTACAGTTGACATCTACAGACTACTTTACCCAATGATGGGTGTATTCGTTCATTTTCATGCTGCTGATGAAGACATACCCCAGACAGGGAAGAAAAAGGGGTTTAACTGGACTTACAGTTCCACATGGCTCAAGAAGTCTCAGAATCATGGTGGAAGGCAAAAGGCACTTCTTACATGGTGGCAGCAACAGAAAATGAGGAAGAAGCAAAAGCAGAAACCCATGATACACCCATCAGATCTTGTGAGACTTATTCACTATCATGAGAATAGCACAGGAAAGACCAGCCCCCATGATTCAATTACCTCTCACTGGGTTGCTCCCACAACACGTGGGGATTCTGGGAGATGCAATTCAAGTTGAGATCTGGGTGCGGACACAGTCAAACCATATCGATGGCAGAACACACAACCTTCTCGAGTCCACACGAACTGCTCATCAATAGAGAGACCACATTCTCCTCCATAAAACACACCTTAACAAATGTAAAGGAAAAGGAATCATATAATATATGCACTCAGGTCAAAATAGAATTAAAATTGAAATTAATAAAGGGATGATAACTGGTAAAATACATGGATACTCAATAACACAGTTCTAACTATCACATGGGTCAAAGAAGGAATCTCAAGAGAAATTTAAAAATATATTTTGAACTAAATGTAAAGGAAAACACAACTTATCAAAATTCATGGGGTGCGATCAGGGAGCTTGGAGGGATATTATAGCCTCAAATACATATATATTAGAAAAGAAGAAATCTGGCCAGGTGCTGTGGCTCATGCCTGTAATCCCAGCACTTTGGGAGGCCGAGGCCAGCGGATCACGAGGTCAGGAGTTTGAGACCAACGTGATCAGCATGATGAAACCCCATCTCTACTAAAAATGCAAAAATTAGCCAGGCATGGTGGCATGCACCTGTAATCCCAGCTACTCAGGAGACTGAGGCGGGAGAATCGCTTGAACCCGGGAGTTGGAGGTTGCAGTGAGCCGAGATCATACCCGGGCTCACTCCGTCTCAAAAAAAAAAAAAAAAAAAAAAAAAAGAAAGAAAGAAAGAAAGAAAAAAGAAGCAATCTAAAAGTTAGTCATCAAAATTTTCACCTTAGAAACCTTAAAGAAAAGTGTATCAAGTTAAATCCAAAGTAAACGGAAGAAAAATATAATATGCCAACATAGAGAAAACAAAAGTAAAGATAGAGCCCACCAGAATTTTTAAGTGACTAGTGACAGCTTAATAGTTTATGGAGGATAAACCTGTCAAATGTTACCTAAGAAAACGCAATACCCCAAACTGAATGCTTGCTTATGGGCATGAAGAGGTGATCCACTCTGAAATTAGGAGACATGAATCTATGATCCACCTAAGCATGCAAAGCGGGGCAAATTAATTTGGTTCCAAAGTTGGGAAATACACTAATTATGAATAACCCACCAAAAATAAATTGAAGCAAGTATTGCTATGTATACAAAGTAAAGGATATGAGAAGAGAGTCAAAATACATGCGACCCTCCAAGAAACATGAAAAAAAATAATGAGATTTGTAGGAAAACATCAAAGAACATGTGAGGGGACACGCAGGCACTGATGCGTGAGCATGTGCATGTCTTTGGAGAAAGTCCCATAAAGGCCTGCCCACCCACCCCCAGCCCCACCCTCTCTGCATTTCGCCTCCTGCCGTGCTTGTGTTCCTTGCATTGGGTTTCTTCTGGGGCCAGGTGTGGACCCCCTTATTTCCAGCTGCCTGTGAGGTTGCTCTCACCATGTGGTTGCATTGATGCCAGGCGGCCGTGAGCTGGCCACAGTGAATTTTCAGATCCTTGGATCCCACCGACACCTGCAAAATGAGCAGACAGGAACCTCTCTGTCTTTTCCACCCTCACTCCTCCTCAGCACCAACTCCTCTGGTCCCCTCTCCACAGAGGACAGGTACTATCCTCACTTGTTCCGTCTTTCTGATTGGATGACCTCATGGACTTGGGGAATATTACCTTTTTTTTTTTTTTTTGAGACGGAGTCTCGCTCTGTTGCCCAGGCTGGAGTGCAGTGGCGCGACCTTGGCTCACTTCAAGTTCCACCTCCCAGGTTCGTGCCATTCTCCTGCCTCAGCCTCCCAAGTAGCTGGGACTACAGGCGCCCTCTGCCACACCCGGCTATTTTTTTGTATTTTTAGTAGAGACGGGGTTTTACTGTGTTAGCCAGGATGGTCTCGATCTCCTGACCTCGCGATCCGCCCACCTCAGCCTCCCAAAGTGTTGGGATTACAGGCATGAGCCACTGCGCCCAGCATGGGAATATTTAAAAGAAGAAAACTGAGTCATTCAAATCCCTCCCCACAGAATACTGTCCTCAGGGAGCAGCCCTCCCTCCCCTGTCCAGTCCCTCCGTGGTCTGCCCTTCTGCCTCCTCAGGTGTTACTCATCCCAGCGGTCCTTCCAATCCGCTCTGGCCTGTGCCATGGACACACTGTTTCCTTTTCCCTTTCCCTTCCCTGTCTGTTGTCCTCACTGCTCCCTCACTCTCCAGAATCTCCTCCAATGCTCCTCCTCCTGGAGGCCTCCCTTGTCCATCCCATGCCAGGTATGATGCCTGTCCCCTGAGTTCTGAGGAGCTGATCAATCATCTACAGTTTAGTTTCTGTTACATTTTCTGAATCACTACTTGACTGACATGTCAGAGAAAATGGAAACTTTTGTCTATGTTATTCCTCTGTGAGCCCCTCACATGTGATAAACAAAAAGCAACACAGAAGATTCTCCTTTACATTGAATCTCACAAATGGATAATGGATCAGCCAAACGCTCAACTACGTTCTTACCTAATTAACAATAAAGTACAACTCTCTTTCAACCTGAAATGACTTGAACTTGAAGATGAACCTGTTTCCTGTGCTCCTTTCTGTTCTCAGGTCAGGATGTGAGCCCTGACTTCCCCTCAGCCTCTTCTCCAGCCTCTCCATCCTCAATCCACTGCAGAGGCCCTCTCATGGGCCAGGCTGCTTGCTCTGTCCTCCTCATCTGCCCCTCTTCTGTCCGTCTGGACAGCGTTGCCGTCTTAGAAACCAAGGAAAATCGTCTTGTTCTCCAAGATTCACTTCTATTAATATGACTCCCTGGATAAACGTTTCCAAATTTTTGCTAGCTGCTGTATTTCACCATTTTTGCTATTTTTTTTCCTTCAAATTTTATCACAGTAGCTGTTATCCTGGTGGCAGTCATTATTTGGTTTTCATTTTCATTGCTCATTTTCATTGTACATAGATGAATTTATCCTGAACTTTTATACTGTCATCTTGTTATAAGATCATGTGCATCAGAATTTGCATAATGGGTGTCAACGGGAAAAGTGGAAACCACACAATGACACAGCCTCTTTTATTAAGAACTGTTTCATTGCCTTGTTTTGAGACAGAGTCTCATTGTCACCCAGGTTGGAGTGCAGTGGTGCGACTTGGCTCACTGCAACCTCTGCCTCCAGGGTTCAAGTAATTCTTCTGCCTCAGCCTCCCAAGTAACTGAGATTACAGGCATGCACCACTATGCCTGGTTAATTTTGTATTTTTAGTAGAGACTGGGTTTCACCATATTGGCCAGGGTGGTCTCGCACTCCTGACCTCGTGATCCCCCCATCTTGGCCTCCCCAAATGCTGTTTTTACAGGCGCGAGCCACTGTGCCCAGCCTGCCTTTACTCTTTAGGCCACAGAGGGTGATGTTAAAATATTCATGGCCCTGGATTAAAACCTGATTTAGAACCATCATACTCAGAATTTTAAGATATTTTCAAATCCATTTATAAATTAATTTCAATATTGCTTTCATTTTTATGTAAATAAAATTCAAGCTTTTACAGTTCTAGAAGGGCGTTTTCCATTAGTATAAAATAGGCCCTTATGTGTATAATACACTTTTCTGCTGCAAAGTATAATGCACTTTTCAATGACAGACTGCTTATACAATGGCGGTTCCACAAGATTATTATGGAGCTAAAAAAACGTACCATCTCCTAATGATGTTGTAGGCATTGTAATGGCGTAGTAAAATCACTTTTTTTTTTTTTTTTTATTTGGAGACAGAGTCTCGCTGTATTACCCAGGCTGGAGGGCACTGGTGCAATCTCGGCTCATTGCAACCTCCACCTCCTGGGTTCAAGCGACTCTTATGCCTCGGCCTCCAGAGTAGCTGGGATTACAGTTGCGTGCTACGATGCCTGGCTAATTTTTTTTTTTTTTTTTTTGTATTTTTGGTAGAGATGGGTTTTCACCATGTTGGCCAGGCTGGTCTCAAATTCCTGGCCTCAAGTGATCTGCCCACCTGGGCCTCCCAAAATGCTGGGATTACAAGCGTGAGCCACTGCAACTGGCCAATTACTTTATTTTTAAAGTAAATTTAATGTAGCCTAAGTGCACAGTGTTTATATAGTTTACAGTAGTGTAAAGCATGCCATAGGCCCTCACTTCCATACTCACTGACTGACCCAGAGGAACATCCAATCTCGCAAACTTCATTCATGATTAGTGCCCTATACAGGTGTACAATTTAAAAAATATACATTTTTTCTTTTTTTGAGACGGAGTTTCACTCTTGTTGCCCAGGATGGAGTGCAATGGTACGATCTCGGCTCACCGCAACCTCCATCTCTTAGGTTCGAGCAATTTTCCTGCCTCATCCTCCCGAGTAGCTGGGATTACAGGCATGCGCCACCACCCTCGGCTAATTTTGTATTTTTAGTAGAGACGGGGTTTCTCCATGTTAGTCAGGCTGGTCTCAAACTCCCGACCTCAGGCAATACCCCCTCCTTGGCCTCCCAAAGTGCTGGAATTATAGGCATGAGCCACTGGGCCCGGCCCTAAAAAATATTTTGTACTGTATTTTTTGCTGTGACTTTTCGAATGTCTAAGTATGTTTAGATATACAAATACTTATTTTGTTAGCGCTGCATACAGTATTAAGTACAGCAACATGCTACATACATTTGTAGTCTGGGAGCAATAGGCGATACCATGTAGCCTAAGTACATAGTAGATGGCACAGCCTACTACAGTTTGCATAAGTGCACTGTATGATGGTCCCAAATGACAAAACTGCCTAACAAACATTTATAAGAATGCATCCTCTTCATTAAGTGAAGCATGACTGCAGTTTAATCAACAGGGACATTATCCTTTCTTTTGGGTGCCTCTTAAATATTCCATTCATTGACACACAGTGGCTGACACCCACGGAGACTCTTGTTGATACGGTGCAAGACCAATCTGACCTCCCCTTTAGTGTCACAAATGCCAGTTCAATTATCTTTCTCTGAGCATTTCACTTGCATTATTTTTTTTCACCTTGGCAACGTGAAGCAAATAGTCAGGGATACAGTAATCACTGAGGAATTGCAGAAGGTAAGAATCAATTTTTTTTTTTTTTTTTTTTGAGACAGAGTCTCACACTGTCACCAGGATGGAGTGCAGTGGCACAATCTCGGCTCACTGCAACCTCTGCCTCCTGGGCTCAAGCAGTTCTCCTGCCTCAGCCTCCTTAGTAGCTGTGATTACAGGCATGTGCCATCATGCCCAGCTAATTTTTGTATTTTTAGTAGAGGCGGAGTTTCACCATGTTGGCCAGGATGGTCTCGATATCCTGACCTCGTGATCTGCCTGCCTCAGCCTCCCAAAGTGCTGGGATTATAGGTGTGAGCCACCGCGCCCGGCCGGGAATCAAGATAGTGTAGGAAAATTCACTGGGTTTAATATGCCTTAACAAATGCAAAAAAAGTGGACAAATTATACGAACGATGGTTTGTGAGACACCATGTGTGAAGCAATGAAGGACGGTGATACCTGTGGGATATGAAATAGTGACATGAAACCTACTATCACCTCAAGGTACTTCTTCAAGATAATTTCCTGCTGTGATGTGGCAAGGATGTTTGGAGACTTTTTTTGTTGATACAATTAAACTGAGGGTCTGGAAAAACAATTTTGCCTAATTTCACTACAGTAGCAGTCCACAAGAAAAAAACAAAGACACTTGAAAATACGTTTGAATACACTTGGTCTTCCACCTGTTCATCTTATTAATGTCTGCAAAAAGAGGCATTCACATAACACAACCATCTTGCAACAAGCCCGTATGAAGAGTGAAACATTAGCATTGAAGGAAATGTGTATAAATAGGTTGAACCACCACATCTTGACCCAAATCTGCATTTCTTACTATGTGTTGTCATTTGTGGCTGACAAAGATAACGATTTTTTTAATACGAATGCTCTCTGGCTTGCAATGGTTTGATTTAAGATATTTTGACTGTAGGACGGCAGAAAACCAATACACCTTCTATAGAAACCATATTTCAATCACCCACATAAGCATTCTATTTTTCGCAGTGCAGTAGTCAATAAATTACATGAACTATTTAACGCTTTCTTATATAATAAGTTTCATATTAGACAATTTTGACCCACTATAGGCTAACGTAAGTGTTCTGAACACATTAAGGTAGGCTAGGCTAAGCTATGATGTTAGGTCAGTGAGGTGATTTAAATGCATTTTCGACTTACAATATTTTCAACTTTTGATGGGTTGATGCGAATGTCATCCCAAAGTAAGTTCAGAGAACGTCTGTAATTTAAAGGGAGTTTTCTTTTTTGTGGGGGATAGGGGTCTCACTCTGTCATCCAGGCTGCAGTGCTGTGGTGTGATCATAGCTCACTATAGCCTTGAAATCATGGGCTTAAGTCAGCCTCCTTCCTCACCCTCCTGAGTAGCCAGGACTATAGGTTTGTGCCATGATGCCTAGCTAATTTTTAATTTTTTTTCTGTAGGGATAAGGCCTTACTATATTGTCCAAGC